ATCAAGTACTAAAGACAAAAAGTTTATTTTGATAAGCAAGAAAGGGGACTTTTTGCCATACAAAAAAATGTCCTATAGTGCTTTGGTATCTATGATTGTCCAACTAACCAATAACTATCCATCTCATTTTCTTGACAATTCCAGCTAAGGTACCAGGTGATCAGTCACATCTTAGTTACTTACGTACTCAAATAAGTAATTACAAAAAAAAATTATGAGTAGTTTTTTTTTTAGTTAGAATTATTCGTTCTACACATTTGGTAATAAGAGATTTGTTGAATTACGAAAATTACGAGCTTTGCTAGTTGCCAACTACCACATGGCCAGGCTTAACGAGATTCCATGAAATTACAAATGTAATCAACTATTTCGATGTAACACAGAAGTTGTATGCATTCAAATGCATTCATATTTCCTAATTGATTGAGGGTTATACATACACATGTGTCCCTGTCTGTCTGTATGTGTGTATGTATTTACATGAGTATGGTCGCATGTTGCCACCTGCACATTTGAGCTTTAAGTTACGCCAGTTAGCCAAACATTTATGAATTTTATGCAAAGCGCACCAATGCTGATCAATGCGCATTCATTCGCCCCTTTCAGCCAAAGCGGGCAAGTAAACACAACAATTTGCATACATAAATGCATTTATATGGATGCACAAATTTATATTGAAATTCCACAAATTCATTGCACAAATTGGGCATCTGAAAGCATACAAACGAATATACATACAAACATACAAGTATTTGGGGCTTATAGTCGATACGCAAGTGATAATTTAATCATGCACATCGGTAAACAAACGCGAATAGGGCCACCAAGCCTTGGAGGAGAGCGCGTTAATTTGCGAATTTACATACATACAAAAGTGCATGTACATATATATATATATTTATGTAGAGAGTTATAAATGTGAAAGCTTAAGTGCACATACAATTTTCATTACATTTATACGCTACGCTCATTCAGCCATCGAATATCGTATAAATAAATTATTTTTGCGGTAATTAAATCTTATATCAGTGAATAGCGGCAATTCGATGCAATTGATAAATGTACACACATACACATACTTTAAAAAAAAATGCGACAAAAAAAATGTGATGAATGCATTGGTATTCGCACAACACGCACACATTCATACATATATATGTATATATAGTACATATGCGTATGTATAGTACTTTTGTAAATCCACTTCATCAAAAATGTATATCAACAAATAGCTGCTTTAGCTGAGGCTTAACCGCACAATGCGCGAAACAATGAAATAAATAAATAAATAAAAAGCAAATTTCTAAATAAATAAATGGTACAAATAATCAGTTAATGCAAATGCACTCACAATCTGTGGAGCTTGTTTATTTAATCTACATTATATTTGCACCTGCGATTGTAAATATGTACATTAGACCGCACAACATTACAAGCCAACAAAAACGTTAGCCGTATACCCCTGAGGCTAACATTTTGTTGAAAGGCAATTTGCACATTCGGCCATATATATATATTTTTATAAGTTCTGCTGAAATACGCAAAATACCTCCTTAGCAAAAGTTTAATGATTTTTGGATAGCTTTAATTCACTAACATTAGGGTGGTCTTACCGCTGAGGTCTGCATATCCAAAATATAATTCCTTTCTGAAAGGATGTACTTGAGATTTTCACAGACGATTAAACACACAAAACGATTGCAATTGGAGCTTCTTGTACCTTTATTAGTCCTTTAAATTACAAACCTAATTTATTTTGAGGGTCATTTTTGACCCTGTGAAACTTAACGGTTTTTTTGGATTAAACAAAATGTTTGGAGCTGATTTATTGATAATTGTTTAGTAGTTATTTTACATTTGTTTTTCTTCATATTCAACTCACATTATAGGTTTGTTGTGGTGGCATTTACCTAGAAATGTATTGCACATTACATGTTTGGCAGATTGTTGGTTTGCGCTAATGTCATGCTGACTTGAGAAATATCGTCTACGTTTATATATTTGTGCTGGCTCCAGTTTGTTGTGAAACGCTGACTCCAAGGCTCTGCGTTATTCCTTCCAAAACCCAATGGAAATTCAAATTAGTGACCCTTGGATGCAATTGGTAACAATAGCCAAAAAGATAATTTCAATTACAATGTAAAATTCCATGGTGAACAAAATTTTAATTTTTTAGCAGAAAAAAATAAAGTAAACAAAAATTAGATTGATTGGACTTAAGCAAGTGAGAAAATCGGATTCAAGAAAACAAAATTGCTTACAAATTAAAGAGAATATTATGAAATGTAATAAGAATAAAATAAAAAAAAAAATAAAATAAAAAATAAAAAAAAATCTAATTTTAAAAATTTTTTCTCATAGAATACTTACTGTCCCCGATCTATCCAAAATGAAACCAGTTTCGAACGAATCCAAAAGTTTTGCAGAAGGGACATATATGTATATACATACTTAGAAACCATTAACTTTTAGTCTTGATCTGTTTGGCTATAAACTTTTTTGGTTGACTATGACTTTGAAAGTATAATAAGGTTTTAGGGATTTTTAAAAGAAAAACTGTACGTAAGATCAGTGGTCCAGTTCGCAGCAACGGGTATCGACGGAGCTGCAAGAATAAACTGTAAAACCATTTTAGCAAAACAAGGGTATAGTCAAGCGCAACAACAACTACACTAGGTTTAGCTTATCGTAAATCCTTGGAATCGGCACCCATGGCGGGACAATGAAAGCAAGAACGCCTGCAATTTCAATGGAAAGAACAAGCGAAGCGCGGGTCTTTTAGCTTTCAAATAACCATTTATGTAATTTTTAATATTAATAAAAAAAAAATGTTTGATAATTTATTAAATGCTTATGTATAGAGAAATTTTTATTGCATATTATTTTCTGCATCACCTACAATACATACATACATATTAAGCCATTAGCCGGCGAATATTTTTGGTCAGCATAATTTAACTACGCATTTGTACGAAAACCGCAAATCCCAATCACTACAGTGAGGTTAATTTTATGATTATAATTATCATTATTAATGCTGTGCTTTCATGGCTGCATTTCATTTTAAATATTGCGGTTTTTATTTCCATATTGAAAGCTTGCATAATTTGCTGCGAAAATATTATTTTTTATAAAGTGATTTAATAAAAGCTTGCTGAAAGCAATAAATCGGCCGCTGAAATGTAAATAGCAGGTATTAAAGGGATTTATTTTATTTTTGTGGCAATCTGTGCTCGATTTTGCAACAGGTAAGTGATGCTCAGAGAAAGAAAAAGGCGATCGAACGCATGAGTAATTATGGGAGGACCCCCAAATGCTTGGCTTTGTTCATCATTCATGAGTAGAAGAGAGGGCTGGACAAGCTTTGGTTATAATCATAATCATGAATACACCACTCTGAACTAACAAAGTTAATGGAATTATCAAAATGACTTTAAATATTTAATATAAATATAAAGTTAAAAATTTCAGCTGTCATTTACCCAAAATATAGTATATCCACAAATACTTTTGTGTTCTGCTAAGCAAAAAAATTTTACAAAATATCAACAGAAAATATAATAAATGGCAGCTCAATTAACGTAGCGAAAATATTGAAGGCAAAGGATTACACCATGCGACAGAAAATTTTACACACCAAAAAATCAAAATCGCGAAACTAGGGACTAAATATAAGAAAACTGCGTTTATAGTTTTACTTGACGGCAGCATTTTCTTTTATTTAAATGACTTTCAAAATTCACAGTGTGAATAATTCAATAAATTATTTTAAAACTTTAGTTCATTGCATAATAAAAATATCAACATCTTATAAAAGAGAAAATTCCGTAGAATTTAAAATATAATTTTTTTGGACGAATAGTTTAATAATACCTATAAAGTTTTTAAAGTTTATCTTTTGAACATTTATGAAAACTTTCAATATTTATTTTTGAAAAAATTACATGTTAAAGATCACATCCACGAAATTCGTTAGAAAAATAAAAATAATTAATTGAAGCTTTTTCAAACCCTATTCGTCCTTCTAACCCAGAAAATTTAATTTTTTTTTTAATTCTAAATTTCTCTTTCATCTGGTACCCATACTATTATTCTACATTGCACTGATTTTTTTTATTTTTTTTTCAAAGTCATTTAATAGAAAATCTTTTAGTCAGAGAAAGAAGCTAAAGCCACAGTTTTACTATATTTGGCCCCTAGTTTCGTAAACATATTTATTTTTTTGAGTGTTTTAAAATTTTTTGGTTTTTGTCGTGCGGTGTTGTTAAATCTGAAACAAAAAAGAAAACAGATTTCCACGCGCAAAGTAAATTATTATGAAGGAAACTCAAATAAAATTTGACGCGTTAAATGCTTTCGCTGAATTGCATAGATGGATATGTTAAAAATCCAATTTAAAATAATTTGCCGCTTTAAGCCAAGCGTGAAAAAAAAACTACGCTCAAATTTAATTTCAAATGCGCTGCTGCCAGTTTATTGAAAAAACTACAAATAATAAAATGTATAAATACTGACAAAAGACTAAAAAATGTGTGAAATAAGCTTACTACTCACAGCTATAAGTGACAAAACGGTGTTACACAAAGCGCTTTGCTGCGGAATCGACTAAATACTTTTACGCCAAAATATGCAAACAAAAAAAAAAAACACTTTGATAAACTGCCAAAAACATGCAGTCGTTAGAGAGAAAAAATGATAGAGGAACTTAACGGTAAAAAATCGAGAGTGAGAGAGTTTTTCCACAAGCGTAGCAACATATTCAGAGGAATACCGGCAATACCCAGTAGAAAATTTTTAAATATGTGGAACAAGAATATTTTAGCTTTTGAATGAAAATAACATATCTGTGTATATGTATTTGACTTTCAGTTCTACAAGCCAATCAGAATATTGACTTCCTTTCGCCCCTTCGATGGATATAGAGCTGAACTCACCTATTACCTCAACAAGTTTCATCCAAAGCCCGCCATGAGTGCAAATCGGCTCTAAGCTCTCTATAAAATAGTTCACCACTTCATGGGAACCCGTTCCAAGTTGCAAAAAGCTCCCAGTATGACTGATAAATGGCAACGACAACCAGAGAGAGCTTTTAAAACACAGAAAGCTTCAAAAAGCTTCTCCCACGAAATATTTTTTAATTATCTTTTAGTTATAAAAATCGCTGTCATTATTACAAAGCTGGAATATTTATGGAAGAATGAAGATAGAGACAAAAAATGTTTTCCTATCGACTTGACTATCGTTTGAAGAGCGATATCGCCGACCTATGCTAAGAATTATGCCTGCTGAGCACCTGATGAGAAATCGAGAGGAGCCCTTTTCCAAACTAAAAGATTTTAGCTAAAAGAATAATTTCATACCTTCAGAGAGATCCGAGAGCTTTTGCCGCCCAGCGCTATACTATAAACCTCACCCTGACCACTCCTCAACCGCAGGTTATACTGCATAAAGAATCCAAATTTTTCTTGCCGACTTACTCATATTCATCGACCGTCTAGTTTGGCTTTGCGTGACCCCGGAAACTGTAAAATCATTCAAAAATATTCCAAATCGAATAGAAGGAGACCAGCCCGACGGCCATGACTTTCACTACAGGCAATGCACCTCCTTCCTCTAAGTATTGCACATGCAAAGTCATCTGCTGACACCTACCACCACCACACCTCACATGCTTTGTGTTATACGCTATTTAGTTGCTATTGTTGCTGCTTGTAATTGTGCTGCGTTTTTTATTGCCAAAGTTTGCATGGCCCACCGCAAGCTAAGCCGCCGCTTGGCGCGCGAACACAATTTTTTACGCTTATCAAAGTGTTTACTTTAGCGCTTTTGTTTCTATTGTATTGCATGCGTACGTGCATGCCACACGCCAATACACACGCACACGCACGCACACACACACACACGCACACACACTCACCCAGATTCCCATATACAGTGACATAGCCACAGACACGGCCTGTCATCTGCATTGCATTGAAATTGAAAGGAAAATTGTTGAAAGCCCACTGCTCGTTGATGAGAGGAGAGCTGTCTGCAAGCGCGGGTGGCAGCAGCAATAGCAGCAATTCAATGGAGTTTATTCGTGGAAAAAAATAAAACTAACAAACCTCCAGGACGGCGGCGTTACGCGATTTTCTACACAATAGCCAATTTTTTCCCAATGCTGACAATGAAACTCATTCAACGTCATTCAAGACTCCTTACAATACTCACTTTGCATTTTCAATTTTTAACGGTTTTTGCTGCACATCTTTCTTTGTTTGGCCGCAAGTTTGCTGAGTGAGTATAATATTTCCGCGTGAAATTGTTTTCACAAGTGTGCGTAAGTTTTTTTGCGAACGTATGCTTTTACACACATACACACATACGTATTTATATACGATTTATGTGGAATTAGTGGCATGAGGATCGCATTTTTAATGGAATAAACGAAAAATTTAACAGTAATGAAAGAAAAATGGAATTTAATGATTTAAACAAAAAAGGCAAAAAATTAGTCCAATGAAGGAAAAATTTAATGATTAAAAAAAAAATTATTTCAACGCTCAGCTCAGTCTACTCCGAGCATACTAACATAGCAATTTAACAGCCTGAAGAGTTTCTTAAGCGTATAAATAATGCGGAAAATTATATAACCATCAGCAATAATTTACTCACAATTTCTATATCCACTTAGTTAATTAGGTCAATGGCATAAGCAGTTACCACAAACTCTGAAGCTTAGATAATTGCATACAAATTATTGAGGCCTAAAAATCATACCAGTTTCAGATCTCGTAACTTAAAACTTGCAGCATTCAACGGAAGCCACTTAATTTCCAAGCCATTGTTCGCGCAATATTCACAGGCAATTATTTTCGAACAAAATTGTATCATACCAAATATTTTACTACATTATTATTACGTGATTGTTTTTTTTTCAAATCATTTGTAAGTTATTCACCTTAAAGGTTTTGCTGTGACTTCCGCTTCTGACTTTAAGTGGTTGATAATTTATAACACCAATGCCACTAACATACACTTGTATACATACATAATGAATTTTATTCCCACTCTACCCAAATTATGTTTAGCCTCGTTTCGACTGCCAAAAGTTTCGCTAATGTGCCCAGCGCAAAGAGTACACCAACAATTTATGCAGATCTAACTACGGCGAATATAATTGTGTGTGAAACAAACCCCATCAGCCGATGGTTAACAGATAAAATAATCTTTATCAGCAAAAAAAGTGAGATGAAAAAATATTTGTGTGAGAAAAAAATTGAAAAGACGAACTTTTGCAGCTAAACGCTAAATGAGCCCGTCCCCCCGGACGCAATGCAATGTTTGCAAAAGTTTGTATACTTTTTTGAAGTTTTTGTATGGACATACGAAAATGAAGACAGAGGGTCATTTGCGTGAATGCTGGGCTGAATGTGTGAGTAGGAAGGAACCCCTGTGAATTGCACTTGGCGAATAGTTGCCGGTGATGCATCTGCCGCTAGCCGGCTAGCGAGTGCATTACAGCTGCCAACAATTTTTCTGACACTCTTTCTGAAATTTGCACATTCGTACTTGTTGAGTGCATATGTTAAATGGTTTTAGTTAAATGCATATATGTACATATATATTTAGCTATGTAAGTAGCTATGTACATATATATTTATTTATTTATATGTATAGATACATACATGCTAGTAATATGAGTACTACTCGGTTTTTGGCCTGTCAGCAGAAAGTCAGTAGAGCGTCTGCGGTT